CTTGTCTTATGTCCGCACTGAACGAATCTCCGCAGAGCAGAATAACGCGGCTGAGGATACGATCATTCCAATGAATACAATTATAACAATATTACCAGCAAACGATGAATAAAACAAATGCGCCGTTCTTCCGAGGAGGAAAAAATAAAGGTGGACATACAATTTTGAGAATATTAATTTCTTATAATAAAAGTTTACCAACTGTACAAGTTTAAGAAAATTATACAAGCTTTGTTTAAGAAAGGGCAGTTCATTCAAAACTGTAAAAATCTCTCAAAGGCTACTAAGAAATCTGGAAAAATACGCCACGTATCTTTTTCAGCCCAGATAGGAATAGAAAAAAAAGACATCATTGATGTCAATAATATATATACACAAACCTTATTTGGTTTACTCTTCTACCTATAAAAACGCCGCCGCAGACGGCCCTGCTTTCCTTAGCAATTTCAGATCCGACGTGTTTTAAAACAAACCTGGATGGGAGGAGCAAAAAACAAAGTATAAGCCCCTCCCTTTCGCCCCAAAATGCAGAAAAAATAAAAAAGTCATTTGCGACCACCATTGTTGCCTATTCAGTGGATACATTCTGGATGTCCTTCCACGACGTTCGTTTTCCGTTAACAAAAAAAAAAAAAGAAATCCCCGTTCTAAAAACATTGCGGTGAAATGTTCTCTGGGGTTCCAAGAAATGGTATGAAGAAAAAAAAAAAACATCTAAAATAGAACCTGTTAAATAAGCATCATAACCCTGAAATTTCACGGCCCCGAGAAACACAATTGTTTCCAAAACGTCTCGATGGAAAGAAAGAAGAGAGCGACTTCATTCTCAGACCTCGCCGTGCGAGAAGATTTCCTGAGCAATGTCCGACGGTCTGGGGCTGCTGTCTTTCCCGGGGCTGCCGTATCGCCGTCTTTTCGCAGATCGCTCGCTGGCATCCTCCGGCTCTCGGTCGTTCCTGGCGTTGTTCGCCGGGCTGAATTTAGCGTCGCCCCCGGCGAGGCCGTCCCGGTTGTAGCCGTTGGTGTCGCTCTCGTTTGGAGGGGGTTCGGCGGTGCTGGGACCGTTTAAATGTACGGGTGCTGGGACAGCGTCGTCTCTGCTGATGGGTATGTCTGAGGGGGCGTTGGAAGAAACCCCTAAGGAGATGAGAAAGAAATTCACCGGAAACGATTCATTACATTAAATGATGACGACACCAAAACAAACGCGTCACATCTACTACCACCACATGTAGTTAAAGCTGAACTCCGGGGACACAAATCTTCATCTAACAACCTTAGTAACGCAGACATTTTTGCACACATTTCGCACTCATTGCTCCCGCTCTCCATACCGAATGCATTTTTTGTGTTCCCAGGTTCCCCAGAGAAGCAAAAACCATGGTGGGGAGGGGGTGGGTCACCACCTATGCAGCTTACTACAATCTGGGTGGCGAGAGAGAGGGGGTAGAGAGAGAGAGAGGGGGAGAGAGAGAGAGAGAGAGAGAGAGAGAAAGAGAGAGAGAGAGAAAGAGAGAGAGGGGGAGAGAGAGAG